TTTTTCTAAACCCTTCCTCTCTCAATATCCTCATTTTTTCACAGTGCATAGATGGAGCATTGGACATGGAGCCGGGCGCGCCCAAGTCGGGCACATGAAAAAGACATCAAAGCAAATCTTGACAAGCGTATATGCCTCTTATCTGCATCTAGCACTGGCAGTGAGACAGGGGAAGAGGAAGCGGAACAAGGACAGGAACAGAGCCAGGACAGTATGAGGACCGATGCAAAAGGCACACCCACACACACAAACACACACACAGTGAGAGAGACTCACTCAAACATCCAGAGGAAATGCCTTCCGCTGTACTCTGTTGCTGGTCTACTCCTTATGGAATACATTTCCTGTCCCGCCCAACGTCCTGAGTCCTGGGTCCTGAGTCCTGGGTCCTATGTCCTCGGTGCTCTGTCCCTGGTGGCAAACACATGAACAACTTTTAGCCGTGTTCGAAATTCGAATGCATTTTAAAGTTGGCAACAAAAACAACAGGAACCGTCATAACTATGACAACCGCAATAAAGTTGTGCCCCAAAAATACTCAAGTGTTGGACCATGGGAAAGGGCTGTTTTTGGTCAACAGGATTGGACTTTTGCTACTCAAATAAAGGACACAAGGAGACTAGTTGGGAAACTTTTCAAATCTGCAAAACATGCAAGTTGCAGAAAGGACGGGGGAATAATAAATATAAATAAAGTAACTTTTCCAGAGCTAAAAGTTAAAGCTTTAATCAAATAATTATATCAAATTTAAGCAAAAAAATAAATATTAATAATAATTACTTGCTAAAAAAACCTACCTTTAAATTTAGACATTGATTGGGCTCATAAAGCCGACTAAAGGATCTCTGGAATCCGAAATCAGGACCCTTAAAATTCCCCATCCAATTTATACAGTCCACGGCCCCTACTTACTTATTCTGCTGTTGTTTTTACTTGCCACTGCAACAGCTGCCACATTTTGTTTCCTTTTTGCCGCTCCTGTTGACGTTTATGCAAATTGTGTTGTTATTTTTTGTGTGTCATCCAAAAAGAACCAAAAACAAAAATAAAGAATATATATTCAAGCAGCAAAAACCAGAATTCTGAAAAACGCCTTCCTTCTCCAATCAATAAATGTAAATCTCAGCCTCGAGGACTTCTCTCATCGGCATGGCATATCCTTTGAGGATATTCCTTTGCCTTTCCTCACATTTAATTTAATTTGTAAATTATGAATTTGGGATTGAAGACTGGAGCTTAGGAGTAATGGGGACATATGGGGACATCTAAATCATTGGGCTACTGCTCCATTTACATCCTGGAAACTTGGTCCTTTCCCGGTTGCGTAACTCCAAAGTAATTAAATTGAAACGGAGTGCAAGATGTACACAAAAGCCGGAAACTGCATGCCAGGAGAGGGAGTTCTGGGGGCGTGACATATGTCAGGAAACTGGAAAAAATATTCAAGATGTTTTATTCTTCATATATTAAATTTTATTCAAGGATATTTAAGATATTCCTATACAGATCTGAACTTTTTATCCAAAATATTAATGTTTTTAAGAAGATTTTATAAATATTATTTTTTGTAGTGTATTGCATGGTACTTTCCATGGCAAAAGTCAAGTGTGTTCACAACAAAAGTGTTGAAAATACTGAGGGGGCGGAAAATGCAGCGGGAAACTTGCAACATGTTGACAGCACATACACGCACCCCCCACTGCCCTCCAATGTGCTGCCTTTTCGGGCCTTGGTGTACAAAGTTATAGTTATGATGATTGTTGATTTAGAGTTTTTAGTTTTTAGCTTGCCAGATGGGCCAAGAAGGAGGGATTTGTGTAGCATGCAATTAATTTTGTAGCCCCAACTTCAAAGCAGCTGAAAGGAGCCGCCCGTGGACAGATGATGACAACAACTCGGCAGCTCCGTCAATGGGGGCCTTTGATGCCACGGCATTGGATCCCATTGGATCCATTGGATCCCCCTCCCCATTGGATCCCCCATTGCTCCCCAGTGTCCCCTGACATCAGCGCTAATGGAGTAGATGCGGTGGCGAGGGCGGGGAAGCCCCTGCCCAGGCCGAAACCAATCCGAACTCTTTCTCTTCTGTTCCCATGGCCGTAACCCGAGACCGGGGAATGTCACAAATTCTTAACGTGCACTGAGAAAAATCGTGAATCAATTAGAAATTTAAAATTGTAAAGGTCTTAAAGGCTGGGAGGCTATATCTTTGCGAATTTCTATTCGATTCTTTTGCGAAATATCTTAAACGAATTGTGGATGAATTTATTATCAATTTGCATCAAAATCTATAAACATGGGGAAAGCATGGGGACAATAAGGCCCCTTGAAAAGGCTATATCTTTACCAATAAGTATCCGATTATTGAGCGGATTACCTTAAACGACTTGTAGATCGATTCTACATAAATTTGCATCAAAATCTAAGAAACAAAATATTTTTTAGACATTTTGTCAAATTTTCTGGATGACCTACTTCAAAAACATTGAAAATGCTGGAAAATCCCTGGAAAAGGCTATACTATACAAATATGCATCCGATTCTCCATCTTAAAGGAATATTCGAATATCTTAAATGATTTGTGGATTGATTCTCCTCCAATCTGGATAAAAATCTAACAACAAAGTATTTTTTTTGGATTTTTATCAAATTAAGTTTTAAGAAATCAAGTTTCCAAAAATTTTTAAATAGCATGTGACTAAGTACCCAAGTAATGGATATATCTTTGCCAATTTCCATCCTATTCGTGAACGGAATATCTTTGACGATTTGGTAATTAATTCTCCACAAATCTGCATTAAAATCTAAGAATAAATTCTTTTGTCAATTTTTTTTGTCAAATTTTCTGGAGGATTACCTTTAAAAAAATTGAAAATGCATGGGGAGCTCCATAAGCCTCCGATGCTAGCCGAAGTGAAGGCTATATCTTTGCCAATTTTAATCCTATTCTTGAATCCTATTTAATCCTATTCTATAAAACGATTCTCATGCATTATAACCTTAATAAATAAATATAAATTTTAGATTTTTTTAAAGTTGTGTGGATGACTTCCTTGAATAACATTGAAAATTCATGAGAAGGGAAATTTGGACCTCATCATCCTCAGCATAAGGCTAAATCTTTGTTAATAATTATCCAATTTTATTTTTGATATTTGGAGATAATTAAGACTTTTATTTAATTAATTAAATCCCTATATTTTTCCCCCCGTGTAAGACTAACTCCTGTTGCGGTTGACTGCACTGGTCGCCTGTCAATTCGAGAAGTCGTCACTTGGCTCCACTGCTCTGCTTGCGGTTGACATTCGCGACGATGGTTGTCATGCCTATGGCCTCCAATCCGCTGGAGTTAAGCTCAAACCCAGCATCGCTGCCACTGGCGACCTCCTGTTTCCTGTGACAAGTGTGGCTTTGATGGGTGGCCAATTCGGGACAGGCTCTTTGAACCAGAACATAGCCCCCACATCCATGGGGCTTAAGGTTTCTATGAGATGAGTGGGTTACAAGAGGTCGTCTTTGATGGCCTTGAATGTTGCAATTTTAGAAACTATTGAGTCATATTTTTAAGATAATCAAGAAAATTTAAAAGGATGTAAAATAAAGATTAATATTTGAATCTCTTTTAAAAATTACCAGATAATTACTTGTTGAAAGTAGTATTCCCCTGGGATTGCGGTCCATAGCTCCCTGATTTAGCTCTGATGAGGGTCTGGGGTTATGGGAGATGCCATGGGAATACCATCGCGCGTCATGTCACTTGTGGTTTCCATATCAAATATCCAATGCCTAACCAAAAATATGCGCATAAAGAATACAAAGAGGGAAATGCAGCCAACTATAGAATATACTATCCATATCCTTTCAGGGTGCTCTCGTGCTGCATTACCTTCGGCACACAGATGTGCATAATTACGCTTTTATTAACATTCAGCAGGCGGGGAAGCCGAGTGAAAAAGTGCCACCCACCCATGAGCCATGCCTTTGTCTACGTGGGCCGACTGTTGAATGCAAACAGGTGCGTTTTCTGGGCGCGTCCTGGCACATCCCCACAATCCTTTGCGGAGCATCCGCTCTCGGAGCACATCCTCCTCGGAGACACGTGAACCGCACTCGGCTTAAATGAAGTGCACACGCCGTCATGCACATCAAAGCCCGCCGCCTTTGGCCCGGCGCAGTCAACTAATTAGACACGCCCTCCGCCTTCTGCCCTCCGTCCTGGCAGCCATTCGAAACCATAATTAACGCTAACTGTTCTCCGGGTCTCGGGTCTCTCCACGTCGATTAGAATGGGCACTAAAAGTTATTCCACATTTGCCTTAAATCGAGGACTGTTTAAATAAAAATGTCGGCTCAATTATTTAATTAGTGGTAATTAAAAACTATCCTGGAGGACCTTATGCACTTGAAAATATTTTCAGATCTTGCGATTATATTATTTTTTATTTAACAATCCATACATTATTTTATAAAATATTCTTAACCTAAACTATCCAAAAACAAACTAACCCAATTTGTCTCAGTTTAAGCCCCGTAAAGTAATTAATGTCAGTACATAAAAAATCATTAAGATTTAGTTTAAGATTAGCTGAACCGTTTGCAGTTTTTAACCACAATTATAGTTTATTGTTTTAAGTTTCACTTTGTCAACAAGGGGTTTGTCTTTTTCGCGGGTTTTTCAGTCTTTGAATTTAAATATTTTGAAATAAATCGGATATTTGCGACGAGGGCCCTGACCATAATATCAAAAACATACCAATAATCTTTTAAAAAAAAATGTTAAATACAATTTGAAAAGTAACTTTCAAAAAAACAATCAAAATTAAATATATACATATTAAAAACCTTGCAACTTAAACTAATCTAATCTACAAACTGTAAAGGTCTGTTCACACAATTATCAACAACAAATGATGCTTAAAAATAGATACACGGTATATATGTTATTATATACTTGGGGGGATTTAAGTATTCTATAGAAAAGTGTCATATTATAGAATAGAATACTTTCATCTCCCATGTTATTTTGTAAAATAGTTGTCCTAGAGAGATGTATCAATTAGGAGAACCTTCGTTCTGGGTTGTCCTCCGGTGATGTCTTGCCTTCGCTTGAGTATATCCCCTGTTGGTTTACGTACAGCTGCAATGGCGATACCTGACCAAGCAGATGAACTGGCGGCGGTGGTGTCAGATCCAGGGGCGTGGTGGACGCTGTCGATAGGCTTGTGGGTGACGAGGAGCCCATGCTAGAGGAGCTGGACCTGTTGGACAGCGACTGAGCCGATCTGGTTCTTCGGAGAGGCTCCACTGAGGCAGAAGATTTGCGGCTGCCCTGCTCACCATAACTGTGCACCCTACCCACCACCTTCAGGTTGGTCCTATACGGCGGCTGAATCTGGGCTGCTTGGCTGTGGTAGGATTTCCTTAGGATGCAACAAATGGCTAAAAATGGCACTATTAGAATGCCGCAAAAGCCAAGGGCGATAATTAGGAATACATCAATGCCTTCGGCTCTCCAATAATTCAACGTGTTGGCATGGGATTTAAGGTAATCAGCTCCTCCAGAGTCCAAAATGAGCTGAATCTTTCGCACAGCTTTGGCAGCTGGCGAGGAATCGCGGCTTATCAGTCGCTCGCTTAGTTGTCTCATCTTTTCCACGTAGCTGCTATTCAGGGTGAGCTGCCTGATGCCGTGGAGCAGGGCATCATAGGTTATGGCATCGTAGCTCACAGTCAACGAGACTCCGTGGAGTTGCAGGCGCTTGGCCATCACCTCCTGTTCGGCCAAAAAGGGTATGGCAAGTATTGGCTTTCGGCCCACTATCGATTCCCAAACACTCAGCTGCCCACAGCTGCTGATGAACACCTTCACCTGCGGGTGGAATAAAACCGCTTGTTGGGGAAACCAATCTGCAATCATCACATTTTCCGGCAGCTGCAGTTCCGGTACAAACTGCTCTGTTTCCCATTTCAATAGAAAGTGAAACTCCTTCAGATGCCCAAACACATCCAGGATAACAGATAGCTTTTCCAACGGCAACTGAGCCGTCTGGACATCGGCACCCAAACTAAAGTAAATCACCCCGCTTGGTGCACTTTCCACGAATGATTTGAGGTGCTAAAAATAAAATAGAATTAAGATAAAGGAGACTTCCTTAAGCACTTACTTACTTTTGGCAAAAGAATATCTGGTTTGTTCAAATGCATCCCGCCCACCTCCACCATGTTTGGCAAATAAGCTCGGGAGTAGTGCAGACCTGGATGGGAGTTAATGAGGGCCAGGCTCAAGTTCTTGGTAAGATCTCTGTAAAGCGGCAGCTCCTTAACGAGTAGCTCAAAGTGATTCGTGTAAACCGATTGCTGGGAAATCAAGTGGAAAAAACTGTAAAAAAATAATAAAATATGCCATTTAGAATAATTAGTAAAAAGTGAAATTCAATTCGTGCTTTTTTCACGTTTTTGCAACGTAATTAAGGTTTCGCTTTGTTGACTTTGATATTTCATTTAAAATTCTAATAGCAGGGTAGCAGCAGGGCAATTAGATTCAAAGCCCTATGTGGAATTTTCAGCTTTAAATAGATGTTTGTTAAAGTATTTGTTGCGTCAGAACAGAAGCTCACAATGAGATTGCAACAAACACTCATCAAGTGAGTATTAAAGATAAAACAATACTTTAAAGTTTAAACCTAATCAAGAGTCTTAAGTCTCAACTATGCGTACTTGTATGTCAAACGTTCAAAGGTAGCCATTAGCGAGTTGACAATCCTCTGCCTGGTATTCATCTTCTCCGTAAAGGGTAAAAAGTTGCTGGGATCAAGGGACGAAGATTGGGGATTTCCAAACATGTTGTTCAGCCAGGAATTGGCGCCGGTGGGACTGATGGCAACGGTGGGAATTCCATAATAAAAGGCCAACCTAAAACCAGACATATTAATAGAACAAATCTTGTAGAAGAACCCCAAACTTACCCTAACAAAGCATCACTTAGGAACAAGTCCACAATAAGCAAATCGAATCTCTCGCCGCTGGTGAGCAGCTTCCTCACTTGGGGATCGGACAGAAGGATGTCCACGTTGGTGGTGCCGGCGTAGATCATCCGGGTGAACCGTTCCATCACACTCTGTGCGTACATTTCCTCCGCCTCGAAGCTCATGCCCATGTCCAGCCAGTTTTCTCTCAGCCCCTCGATTCTCAGCTCCCGGATCCGAGGGATTTGCCAGTCCACGCCATCCTGAGCAGCATGTGGACTAATGAGAGTTACCGAGTGGTTCCCGGGACTCTCCACCAGCTCCTGAAGCAGTTTCCGTCCAAAGAGATAGTGCGACTGCCAGACGCTGGGCAGGACTGCCAGGACATTGGCTCCCAAGGCCACGCCAACACACAGCAACAGCGAAACTAACTGCAGGAGACGCATTCTGGATAAACTGGTATCCGCATCCGCGTTCGTGTTTCGCGGGGCCTTTGGTCTTCCGGTTTTTTTCTTTTTGTTTTTTTTGCTTTTTTTCTTCCGGTTTTTTGTGCAAAAAACAAACACAACTACAGACGCACGAACAGAGGTAAGCCAGCAGCCCCTTTTGAGGCGTCTATTATTATCTTCCGCAGAGGCTCGATTCTCTGCTAGTTGACACCATTGTTGGATGGCCCAATATCCCCGGCGTTAATTAAATACACAAGTTGGTAAATAAACTGTGCATTGTTTTCTTAGGATCGAAGCTATATATTGTTATCGATTTCATCACATCTCTTATAGCTCTTGAAGCAGAGTTGCCACATATACCCTATATCTAACGGCTAAATAAGTTTGAATTTGGTCAATAAAAATAAAGGGGATTTCCTAAATTTACTTTATATTTATAACTGCTTAAGCTCAATTCTAAAAAAAGCATTATGATTTATATTTAAATATCTATTGCCCAGGGCTGGCCAACAATAACCCCTGGTATTTTAAAACCTTTTAAAGGATGGCCACACTGACTGCATTTTTGCACCCCCTCTGCTTCTTGTTCGGCTTCTCGCTGTAAACAATTTGAAATTTGCATTTATTCGCCCCACTTTATTTAGTTGCTAATCAGTCTAAATTGCCCAACAAAAGGAATACTAAATTAAGTAATACCTGCTGCCGAAAACGGACTACTTTTCGAGACAAATAAGCGCAAAAAACAGCAAACAAGCTAACAATTTTGGCCATTTGGAAGGGTGCCAAAATAAAAACCGGCAAAAAAAGGGGGGCAAAGAATGTGCATGGGGCATTAGATGGCAGAAAAGCAGAAAAAGTGAATAGAACAGCTGGCAGACCAGGTGCGTGGCTAGGATCCGGATCATTTGGCTCTAATACGCGGCCCTAAGCAAACACGACAGTTGAGAGTGGCAGGCGGACAAAAACAAAAACAACAACAAAAACAAGAGCCATAAACCGGCAACAACTGAAAGTGCAGATACAAATCGGGCTTACGTAAGATACTCGTAATAACTGGCAGTTGGGCAATCAATCACCTCCAAAATGTCGCAGCTATCAAGTAAGAGTTTTTAAGATTTAATTATAAATTATTAATAAATTCTTTTAACTTTTAGATTTCATCGATGTGGACAAGCCCCTGTTCGATCTCAGCACCTTTTCGGGGCGGTTCGAGTACTATTCCTGGATGACAGATCCCCGGACAGTAATCCTGTCCAGCGATCGGCTGCTCCAAGCCAAGTCCATGATCGAAAGCTACCGACAAGGGAAACAATCGCCGCAGGTGAAGCCGGAGGAATTCCATTACAACATGAAGCTGTATAGCTCGGCGTTCCATCCGGACACTGGCGAGCTGCAGAACTTTTGCGGCCGTATGAGTTTTCAGGCAAGTCTCGTGATGGTTATCGGCACGTGGATCCCTAAAATAGAAACGTCTGGCGAAGCGTTTGTGAATGGCTTGCCAAAAATATAGAGGAGGCACGAAATTAACACAAGTTATCAGGGTTTTGTTTATCTAATGGCACTATAAGTCATTATAGATATGAATAGATTAAGAGGTCTGCTAGATAAACTGTATTTTCTGCTACTTTAAGGCAAAGAACTAGAAGATTCGAACTGTATTCATTAGGAAACTTGTTGACTAGTGTAAATAATTGCTTCTTGTTCTAACATCCCCCTTTAGGTCCCCGGTGGCATGTTGATCACTGGCGGAATGCTTGCCTTCTACCGCACCGTGCCCGCCGTGGTGCTCTGGCAGTTCATCAATCAATCCTTCAATGCGGTGGTCAACTACACGAATCGCAATGCCAATTCTCCCACCAGCGTTACGCAGCTGGGCGTGGCCTATGTTTCGGCCACAACGTCGGCCTTGATCGCGGCCATAGGATGCAAGAACTACTGGTCGAAGAAGGCGTCGCCATTGTTCCAGAGATTCGTGCCCTTCGCCGCCGTGGCAGCCGCCAACTTTGTCAACATTCCGCTGATGCGACAGAATGAGATACTAAACGGCATCGAGGTGAAAAACGAGGAGGGCGAGGTAGTGGGCCAGAGTCGATTGGCGTCGGTCAAGGGCATTGGTCAGGTGGTGGTATCGCGCATCTTGATGGCAGCTCCGGGAATGCTGGTCTTGCCCCTGATAATGGAGAGGCTGGAGAAGCTGCCCGCCTACAGGCGCATCAAATGGATAAATGCTCCCTTCCAGACCCTGATGGTTGGGTGCTTGTAAGTTGTTGTTACTTATATTATGTTCCTAAATAAAATGAGAATATTTTTCCCATTTCAGCCTCTGCTTTATGGTGCCCACGGCCTGCGCCTTGTTCCCGCAACAATGCTCCCTGGACACAGCCACCATGCGCACCTTTGAGCCCGAACTCTACAAGGAGATGGAGAGCAAAACTGGAGGCCTGGTGCCCAAGAAGGTCTATTTCAACAAGGGTCTATAAGATCGGCCAGATATCTGCCACCTTTGTAGGACAATAATTTGTAGGGGTTTCTATGTCGTCGTGTTTTATGTAGCATTTATTGTATCAGTCTGTTGTTTGTGTCTAAATGTCCTAGTCGCTAAGCCAAAAGGAATCTCAAAACGTATACATTTTTAGAAAAACTCAAATCATAAATCGGATATTTTTTAAAATTAAAAACAATAACTCAGCTTGTACTTAATGGTTGCTCCATTTCGTGTATGTTTTCTGTTAAGGTATTACTAGACTTTGTTCCTATTGGTTCTACACTTGCCTATAGTTTTAATATAATGCCTGTTTGCCCAGAAGATAGTACCCCGAAGAGAGATTTGTAGAACAAACTACTAACTAACTAACCAATATAGTGCATTGGTTTATGGTTTTGAAATAAATATAACTCAAGTGACGTATGGGTTTTAAAAACGTTGTTTATTAGTTATGCTCTTTTTATCCTGTATAGGTATATATATATATATATATTTCAGTATATATAACGTTGCGGGCTTCGTTTATTTAGATATTCGAGTTTCATTCATCGTGTTGTAAAGTTTACAAAATGTGCAAAACACAACTAATTAGCGTAGAATATTCGTTTCGTCAGAAGGGGGACACTTCTTTATTGTTCGATCTGATAGTTGGGATATATCGATCATTAAGGGTTTCCTTGAAGCTGTGGCTCTTTTTTCCGCAAAGGTACAATTTCGATACAATATCGCTTAATGTGGTATTTTCGGTTTTATTTCTCATTTCATCTAATTTTTTGTTTTTTTGGCACTTTTGCTTCCAATTTGCATTATCTCGGTGCTAAACATTGATGGAAAAATTCAACACTCAGATTCTTGTTCAATATTTTAAAATTGTTAATCTTAGGCTAACAAAAACCAGAACAAACGTGTTTTATCTTTTCCATAAAAAATACTTTTCGCCTTGTGCCTTTTTAAAAATTTCAATTTTTTGTCACATGAATCAGCAAACATTTATATATTTTCTTAATACATTTTTTCCATTTTTCTTCTTAATTTTTTTTATTAATTAAGTGGCAAAACATTCGACACACAATTATTCAATATATTTTTTGCTGCTTTGTGGCCATTATACCATTGGGGGTTTTCGTTTATAAAACATGTCTTCCATGCCATTCAAAAGTTGGCAATTGTATTCTTTATTTATACTGACTGAGGCTTTCAATATATTATGTTGGCAATTAAAATTTGTTTCCTGCTTAATTAGTTCCCGGAAAAGCTCGAAGGGTTTTCGGAGATTTTCCTCTTGAACAGGAACTTTCGATCCGTAGCTAGCTGCCTTTAAAAACACTGCATATTTATGTTTTGAATAAAGCCGTAATTCTTACAAAAAAATTAACCCTTTCGAAGTGGACAAGGTATATATCTGTTTCGTATCGGATCTCAAAACAAACACTCGTACAACCCATTGCCACGATTGGACTTAATTTCCTGAGCTTTAAAATTTAGAATATTCTGACCATTTTCCAATACCCTTCCTCCAGTATTCCCTACTCTTTAGAATCAGTCAAGCTTTCATCTAGAAGCACATCCTATCCACTATCCTCTATGGCATATCAAAGGGTATTCGCTTTTTTTATCAAATTCTGTATCAACTCTCAGGCTTCTATACATTTATATATATTTTTATTTTTATATATTGTTTTTATATTGCGCACAGCCTTATTTTTCCAAACAATTTATTTCATTAGTTTAAGTTTTATGTTTTTTTTGGAATATTTTGTTTTTGGTTAATTTGTGTTCTTGAAACGTCACCTGATTGAATTTTGTACCAACATTGCCTGACATACCACTACATTTAGATATTCTTTATTCATAACAAATAGATCGAAGCATGTACTGTTCTAAAACTTTAACATCTCATCCATAGAAAATCGTTCCATCGTTCTACGATCCGAAAACCTTAATACGTTAATACGTCCGCTCCCCTGGATTATCGTTGTGTGGTCCTTGTAGATCTTTGATTCAGAGACCACCCTTTTTTCTAAAAAAAAAACCATAAAAAATGTTTCCCACTGATGGGCAAAGGGGTTTCGGTTTTTTGTTTGTTTTTTTTTTTGTGCAAATTCTTGTATTTTATTTTCTTGGTTTTTAGTGTTTTTTGCTTTCGCATCAATTTTAAAAATTCTTCGATATTCGGGATTTTAGTTCACTTTACACTTATATATGACTTGGCATTCAGTAATTATATGGTAGGTATATATATATATTTTGGGCCTTTACGGCTGCCCTTATCTCCTTATATAACAAATTTTACAATTATAAACGATTTTCGAGTTTTAGTAAATTTTAAAATTAAAAATAAAACGTTTATGCCTAGAAAAAACGGTTTAAACTTTAAACTTTTGTTTATTTTTTACTTTGACTCTCGTGTATATTCTCTTGACTTGGCTTAGGAGTTAAATACAAACATGTACATGGTGTATATATAAATATATTTCATATATTTTAGTTTCTTCTCGTTTCTCAATCTATTGTTGTCGGTGTTTTGTGTGGGAGAGGGGGGTGTATGGATAACATTAAACTTCTTTTGCATTAGACCTTAAAAATGTACTAAACATTATATTAATTATGTTTATTAATATTATATATATATAGACGTTGGGTATTTCTTCAACTTGTCGTACAAAACGTTGTACATTTCATGTAAGATTTCTTCCAGACCTTGAAGGCATACCCTTATTATATACGCGGCTCATATGTATGTATTTTGTTATATTATCTTAACGGGCGTTTCCAGCGACAACCGCGTTAGGAATAGCTCTGCCATCTAGACCGACTCCTCATCGTTGTTCTCCTCCCCATCCGCATCGTCCTCCCCATCGCGACGATCTCGAACTACTTCTACGACAGAAACCGCCTCCGCTGTGGTCGTGGTCGATGTGGATGAGCTGGTGGTGCTGGCCGGGGACATGTTGTCCGAGGTGACGGCCAGGCCGATGGGTGGCGGCGATGTGGCGACGGCAGCTGCTATCTCCTGACTGGGCGGCAGCACGAAACTCTTCCCGCCCACCTGGTCTCATTTGAGACCCGTGTCCGAGGACGGTGTCCAGCGATCGAACTCGATCCCGGAGTCGGGCGACACGCCCGTGGCCTTGGCCAGGTGGGCCGCCATAAACCCGCCCGTCTGCATGCACTTGCAGTCCGGGGCGATGCAATTGCACGAGAACTTGGAGCCGCGGCCGCACCGCGTGGCCACCACACTGGGATTGGCGGCCAGCACATTAGCCATCGGATTGTTGGAGCCGGCCGATCCCAGGCCAACACTTTGGCCCATCATCCCGGACTCGTCCATGGCCTTAGAGTCGCCGGGACTCAGGCGCAGCTGGCTCTCGAAGGACTGCAGCTGCTGCATAAAGTGGAAGTTGGGCGACACATCCGGCTTCCTGTCCCGCACCATCATGAAGGCGTCGTTGAGGCTCAGGCCCCGGGTGTGCATCAAGTAGGCCAGCGTCACGGTCACCGAGCGCGACACCCCGGCCAGGCAGTGGACCAGCACCGCCGAGTTCGCCGAGCGCGCTTCCTCTGTGAGTTTAAAATTGGGGAGCATTAGATAATAATCTGGATATGACATCATAATGTTAGGATGCTTGCCTATAAACTGTATGGCATCTGGGAAGTGAACGGCCAGATCTTGGGAATAGTGATCGGTAATTGGAATCTGCAGATACTTGATGATGCCCGACTTTTCAAACTCGTTCGGCAAGTCAGGTGTTACATTCAGAACATACTGGAATTTAAGAAGGGATTGAAGTTAGTCCTGGTAGCTAAAGAAACCTATCTAGAACTCACCTTTATGTTGTACTTTTGCAATGCATTCGAATCGCAGCTGTGGGATGCATTTCCCAGGAACAGTAGTCCGGGTATTATCTCCACCGGAGCCTCGTTGAAATTATGATGATGATGGTGGTGGTGATGGTGGTGGGAGGTGCTCTCACAGTCCGACGATTCGGCCGAACTGCTGCACGCGGAATCGGAATGCGGTGTGGAAATGCGTAGGGATCTGTAAGATACATTCACGGATATCGATTAGAATCTATAGATAGTTAGATACGATTATCAGACTCACCTTAGACCCATTAACTGATCGGTCTTTACTTTGCGACTAGATTCCATTTCTTTGTTGTTGGCCTGGTTGTCGTCCTCGCACCATTCCGGAAACGCCTGGCGAAAGCTGAAGAAGCCATCTGAAAGATACAAATGAAACGGTTGGTTGAGAACGAGGGGAAACTTAAGAATGCTTTTTGAACTGTGAGTTCCAACCGCAGCACACCACACATCCCACATCCCACCCATATTTTGTTGTTTCGGGCCAGCCTGTCATTTGAGGCCTCTGGAATTTGACGTTCGTTATGCTTGGCCAAGTGTAGCTTTGTGTCTTTGGTAAGGCAACACCTACACGACATGTTGCTATTAGCCCCGCCCCTCTCTGAAATTCTTCCAAGCGAATTACAGAAAGAAAATTATTACAAAAAGGGTTGAAGATTTTCTTCCGAGTGTCGACTCGACTCCAATTTGAAACGGAAGTGCGACTTGGCGACTTGGGATATCAACGGAAATGCCATTTCTATATTTATAGGCTTGAGAACGGTATGGGAACTGTCATAAAACTAAAAAGCAGACAAAACAACTGCTCATCAGCATAACGCAAAACGGAAGCTTACAATTTTCTACTTGCCGCATATTAAATGCGAAAATAAAAACACAAAACTGCGAACTGCAAACAAATTGAATGAAAACGCAGAAAAAGCACTGCAGAGAGTTTAGTTATCAAGTTATTGGCTGGCCAACGGGTGGTATACTCGATCTGCCTGTGCAGCAGCAGCAGAAACTTTAAAAATAGCCAGCGATACTTACGGCCAGATAGGGCCTGAAAATCGAAGCCGGAAAACGCCCCCCAAGAGACTGGGGGAGTTGGGGCTGTGGTGGAAGGGGAGCTATTTTAGCGAATGATTGCGAAGCGGCCATGGTGGTATTACTACTACCATCGCAAAATGCATTTGATAGCAATTTCCGGTTCAAACAAACTCGATCAAAGTTTGAATTTCACTGAATGAAAGGGAAAGGATCCAGGGGAAATGGTTATAGCAAGGGTTTATAAAGTAAAACAAGGGATAAAAGGTTAGTCCTTTGATACCTTCGATGATTTCTTTAAACATAATTTAAAGGCTATTGTGAACTTATCGTTCGTTTAAACTTTAAAGAATAGCCCATCGATATATTCATTGATTTTTTCACAATTTTCATCGATTTTATTAATGGTTTCATTGATAGTTTTAATAGTATATTTCCTGTCTATCTGTAAGACTATTTTTAACATTTAATTTGATAAAAGAACATCCAATCGATATTTTCGATGATTTTATTCAATATTATTATCGATTTTTTCGGTAGTTCCATTAAATGTTTTAATGATCTATTGTCTAATTGTATTTGTGAGTATTTTTTAACTTTTTATTCGATAAAACGACAACATATCGATATTTTCGATGATTTTTTCGAAATCTTTATCGATTATTTCAATATCCATTTTCTATGTCTTTTTGGAACTTTTCATTCCATTAAACGATAGCTGGTCCATATTTTTGATCATTTTTCGGAATTTTTATTGATTTTATGGATAGTTCTATCGATTGTATCAATGGTCTATTGTCTACGAATATAGACTATTCGATAATTCTACGTTTCATTCCATTTCGATGAAAAAATCATAGTTAGGTAGATTAATGATTTAATTATTTATTATCTACATATATATTTCCCTCTGTTTTGAACTTGTCATTCCATAAAACGATAGAATATCGATATTTTCGATGATAATTGAAAAATCTTCATCGATTTTGTAAATTATTCCATCGATTGCTTAAATAGCCTTATGTCTGCATCTATAGGTAGGTCTAATTTAAACTAGTAATTCAATAAAACGATAGCCCATTGATATATTCGATACTTTTAATAAATCTTCATCGATTCCACCGATAGTTCCATCGATTTTTCTCATAATCTATTGCAAAGTAAGTCAATAGAAATCAGTTATAGGTCCATTTTTTCATTTCCTGTTAAAATTACCGGTCGAGGTAACTTTCCCTACCATAAACCAGCCCTATAGACCATATAGCCCATATAGATATTCACAATTTGAATCCGCCCATATGGCAATCGTTTTGCTTTCCCCGCCTCCACACCTCGACTAATTTGTTCTACACCTACCCACTAATATCTGTTTGTGTTTCTATATCTTTATAGTTTTTTTTTTGCTGTTTTTTTTATTTATTTGTCACGTTCTCTGTCATATTTGTGAGTGCTTTTGTGTTTAGATTGTTTCATTGATGAGTTCACACACAAAACAAAACCACAATAACACTGTGGAGACGACCTTCAAAGCGTTGAAAATGTAAACTTGAAAAAAAAGAGCGTCAAGTCGAGGTGAGCACTAAATACTATATCTCTAGTATTGGTTAGAGAACCTGATTTTGGCAACTTCTCCAACAGACACCCACAACCACAGCACCTCCCATAAAAGGGAGACCAACCACCCCAACGTATCTGAACCAATCGCCCCCATAGAGACACATTATTTTTAATTATGTGTCTATTGTTTTATTAAAAAAAAAATAGAAGCACCTATTTTATTAAGCTATATTATAAGCCATAAAAAAAGCCATTTAAGTCCATTCATGGTACTTATATTTTTAAATAACATGTATATATTTTTTCTAAAAAACAAATCTCATTCATGCATTAGTTATTTGTTTTGTTTGCTTTTCATTATAGTATATACTAGGTTTTTTTATTTTTTATTTCTATTTTCAAAGCTTATCTGGCTGTGCTTCGTTTTTTGTTTATCTCTGCGAGTAAATAATAAAAAAAAATAACAACAGCAGCGACAAAGAGAATACAAAACGTGAGTTAAATAACTTTTAGCTCACTTCACTGGGTTTCTACACTGCCGCAGATACAAACAAGCTCACAGATACTCAGTTATACAGATACAGATACAGATACAGGCATACAGTGCTATTCATTCACAGGTACCACTTCAGTTCCCCTACCAATACCTTTTTTTTTTTCTCCCAACGGATATGACGTAGGCGAATTTTTTTTTTCTATTTTTCCGCATAAAAAACAGTTAGAGAAGTGTTTCGAAGGGGGGTAAAGGGGCTATGTTTGCCCTTATATGGTTTGCCATTCTGTGGGTGCCTTGTTTAATTCATTTGCGGTTCAAAATGACGCAGATCCCTTAAGTGGAACACATCAGACCCTGGTCCCTGGACGTCCGTTTAGTCCATTGATGGATTCCATGGCGGAATCCAAACCGGAAGCTCCACACATGCATGCATCCGAACATGCCTCGCATTCTCGCATCTATTTTTAATTCAATTGTTTATAGTTTGGAAGATATTTCCAAGAAATTTCAAATCGAATTAGAATCTTTAAAGTTTAAACTTTATGCTGCAAGTTTTTTGAAAAATCGATATTACGCATACGCACTGTGGGTCGGTATGCCCTGCTCTGTGGTCTGGCAAATGCATTCAGCCGGTCGTTGCACAATGCCAGATACTCGGATACTATAAATATATACCCCATTGCCCCTCTCTCTCTCTATATACACATAGTATAGTATATATATATTTAAGCACGCATGTGTGTGCAGTTGGGAGGAGGTGTCGGGGCTGGTTGGGTGGGCATGAATGAAAAACCAGACCACGAGACAACGACATCGCCAGTAGCAGTTCAATGCTATTTGTCAATGAGTCAGTTTGTCGATTTCAACTGGAACGAGATACCGAGAGACTGGGACTGAGAACGAGGAAGAGTCGTAAAATACAACACAGCACATTTGGGGGAATCATATCCATTAGCTCCATATGCATATAGCCACCCCACCCCGCCCATGTGGGTGTACAAGCATATGGGTGCGTGTGTGTCTCATCCCCCAACCCATTGTGGCCCCAATTTTGTTTACATTTGGGGAGGCATTTAAAAATGGTATATCACTGAGAAAATAATATTTTTTAAATATTAAAAATTATGCTTTTTATTTCTTTTTTTAATTTTTAAAAAATTTTACATTTCAGTGTACAATTTTCTTGTGGAATATGTTGAAAAATAGCCTCCCACTTCCGTCTGTTCTCATTTCGTAAAAGGAAATGTCATTTCCCAAGCACTGCATTTTCCCGACATTCCAAATAATTTCTTAATCAAGAGAGTAGTAGCGTTGACATTTTAACTATCCGGAAGACCGGAAGTTGATTGATTACAGCATGATTGATTGATGAGAGACTCTTGCGAAATATCAGAGGTGCTGTTGCACTTGGAATGCCCTTCTAGGAGACTCTAGGAATAGGAAGGGAGACTCGCTTATGAGAAGACTCTGAAGTCAGGCCTGACATTTAAAGAATTCCGAGAAAGCGTTAAAAATCGTTAGAAAGGGTCGCCCCCGGGCCATCAATCATAGAGTTCGACACTGGATTTTGATCGATAGATAACCAAAAATAATTTGCGTATTTTTTTAAAGCTTTTGGAATTAGTTATGGGGTGAGTCATGGCCATAATATGTGGCTACTCATTTCTAAGAATTAATTAAGTGTGATAAGGCTGTTTAAGCACTTAACTACCTATTTAGACTTTGGTCTTAATTTTGAATTATAACTAAAAGTTACTAGGCAAGTGCCACTGTACCTCAAGCCACAGTTCAGTTTAAGTTTAATTTTTTATATTTTTTTTTTGCTGCTGTAAGAGTCTCGCCTACACTCGCCTCCTAAACAAAATCCCCCGCCCACAGCCATAAAACCAAAAATGAACGTAACAACTGCAACAAACATCACAAAATTCTAAATAAATGCCTCGCCCACAAGAAAAAATAAAATTAAAAAAAACAAGAAAGCAAAGCTAACTTCGGGCGGAGCCGAAGTTGATATACCCTTGCAGCTAAAACCGGATATATATCTCAAACATCGGATATAGTTAGCCGATCCTTATGGGAATATGAATATATAATCCATATAATATGAATATATAATTTATTACAATACAAAATCTACAAAAAGGGTCAAACTTCTATCTTCAAAAACACCAAAGTTGGCATTTCTACCAAAAACCATTTCCGATCGTACAGTTATATGTCAGCTATAAGATATAGTCAACCGATCGTTATGAAATTTGGTAGATCGGATTAACTGACCAA